GCAGGCGGCACCGCACCTCGGCCAGAGGCGGCTGCAGCAGTTGCTGCCCTCGTGTCTGCCACCGCCCGTCCAGTCCCTTTTGTGATTACTCTTCCAGCTGCTGGGAACGGACGGGAAAGAGGAGGAGGCGAGAAACTCTCACCGACCCACAGAGGTGAGTGCCGGGCAGAGCATCCTCCATCCTTGCTTGCCACCCTCCTCCCTCCCTCCCTCCCATCCTCTCCATCCTCCCGCCCTCTCTGCTCCCCAACCCTCCCGCCCTCATCCTTCCCAACATTCCTCTCTCCTCTCTCCTCATTTCTCCCTTCCAGCCTTTCTTTCATCCCTTTCTTCCTCTCTCTCAGCCTCACTTCCTTCCCATCATTCTTTCTTCCTCTTCTTTTTTGTCACTCGCCCTAGAGCGCATCCCTTTCCTCTTGTCTCTGTCTGCCGTCCCCTTCCCCACCCCCTCCCTGTTTTATAGACCCCTTCCGTGGGGGAGCATCCCTCGCCTGCTACTACTATCCGGATTCAGGGTCTTCCCGAAATTGGGCACACAGACTTAAGAGAGGCTCTTGCACAGTGGACGCCCTCTAGGATCCTAAATTATTGGGATTAAGGGTCAAGTTGAATAGAGTACTCAGAACTGGGCGAAGAAGGATGAGGAAGAAGCTATGGATTTGTGTTGTATTAGGGTGGGGGTGGGGAGAGCTGTCACTTAGACATGTTGCCAGCAGCTCCCCCTCACCCCTCTCCACCAAGCAGTTTCTTTTTTCTCTCCAAGGTATTGCATATCCCAGCGTGTGCCTCACTAAGTTAAAATCCTGCTTTCTTTGCTTTGATTGTTTCCCCGAGAAAGCCCAGGGAAAGAGTAAGCGAGCAAGGGAACAAGAGAGAAAGAGGGGAGGGGATTGAAAGAGTGGTGGCAGTGGAGGCTGCTATCCTTTTCCTCTAGGCCTCTCGGATTGCCATTTTCAAACCACCCGCCTAATATTGGGCTTGCATTTGAACCCTTGTGTCCTTGGCCTCGTAACCACCTACGTCTCAGGCAGAAACTCGGTAAACTTTCATGGATGTACACCACCATTAGTTATGGAATGTTTTCATCTGCATACAAAACATTGGTTCTGGAAGATAGGAAGCTGAAGCTTGGCAGCGAGATACTTTTGTTCATCATGGGTTAACTTCTAAAGGAGGATCATGGTTAGACAGTTTGGGGAGAAAAGAGGTTTTTCTTCACAGGCTTGTAAATACACCGTTTTGATCGCATTTTCTGTAATCAATCAAATATCTGTATCTTTTCTCATCCACTTTCTAGGATAGTTGGAAAAACATTGTGTGAAGGTGTTTTGGCTTACACCAATGGAGAAGCTGAATTAGCTTTGAGACCATTCATCATTAGAAAGTGAAAAAAAATCAGTTATGTATTCTTTGTTTTCATAAAATGTTATATTTTAGTTTGCACTATTTAGGTTATATTTCAACACCTACTCTTAGATGTATCAATAGTGATTTGACTATTTTCCTTTTTGCAAGCATTGCGATTTAAAAGTTTATACATGGTGGGACAGACAAAGATTACAACGTTTAGCATGTTTGCTATTTAGAAAGTTCAACAGCAATATAAACCAGAAGCAGACTATTTGAGAGTCTACATTTTGCACAGTGCACATTCCTCTTAAAATGCGAGAAAACAAAACAAAGTGAACAATCACCCTCCCGGTCAAATCTTAATATTTAAAGAATAGCTGGGTTTTGTGTTTAAGGTTTGTGAAGGGTCTGAAATGAACCGTGGATTTAGTGAAACTGCCAGTCAGACACTGTACGGTGGAGCAAAATATTGATTTTATCCTTTTCCTTTAAATTATGGAATGACAATAGGGCAATATGCACTTTTGCCTTTTGTGGGAATGTAAAATAAGAGTTGAGCAGAAGAGATTTGCCTTCAGAAGTGATTGAGTGCTGAGTTGATGCCGAGATGGTACAATTAATCATCCGAATCAATGTTTAGGATGTGTTTCATATTAGGAATGAAGGACTCCACCCCTAAACTCCCACCCTGGCCACAATTCCCATGATAGGCATACAATACCATCTATGGCTTGGCAGACTCTGAAACCATGTGGCAGAAGATTGGTTGAATCATCAGCATGACCGACACAGGGATGCAGAATTGTAGTTAATCCTGTCTGAATTTGAGTGGTTGCATTCTTAATAGTGAAGTTCAAAATAGATCTACTTTTTAAAAATTGTTATTTTTTCCTGGGATGTCAGGGTAGTAATTTTATGTGAATTTAAGATGTTCTCTTAGTCCTAATTTACTTGTAAATGACTTTTTCTCTTGGGACTTCTTTACCACTTTGTTTGTTTGGGGACTTCACTTGTGAATGTGGGAAAATGTAACTCCTTTAATCTTTCTATATGGCACTTTTTCGGTTTAGAGTGATGTATATCTATACAGGTTTCTAATACTGTGTTCACTGCCGGGGGTGAGGGGGGGGGAACTTTTATTTGTTTCCATTTAGTGAAAGCAAAATACTCCCAAAAAACTGGAAAATAAAATAACAGTATGTGTATAGCAGACTTTAAGAGAATTGAATAAAATTATTAAAACACAAACTCCAGGGAACAAACCAAGTCTTTAAAAAGCAGCCTGCTACCTGACAATAATCCAGTCTCTAGATAAAGAGTGCCTTCTTATGGAGATTCCCATACGCAAAGGTTTCTATCTTGAGTTGACCAAACTTTCTCCAGTGTAACCAGGTAAAGACCCAGCAGAACATTGTGCGGAATCCAGTAGACAATGCTTTGGATATTTTCTCTGTGTCTCTCTCCCTCAGAACCCTTATGAACCTGCCCAATCCTATGCTAAGTGGTGTGAGGTATTTGAAAGAAGTTAAAAACACTCTCTTTGACCTGACATATTTCACAGTGACAAGGAACAAGATCTTAGGAGTAAACTTTAGATGTAAATTCAGGTTCTACTATTTTAGGAACCATTGTATATTACTTAAGTCTATTATAAAATGGGGTAATGGCAAGCTATGCTGCATGAAATTGTTTAAAGGGTTAAATGTGCTTAGCAAAGAGGAAACAAAGCATGCATTGAGTACGTATTGTTATAATTAGGGGAAAATGTTTCATAACATTTCAAGACAGTCTATGATTATGTACTGGGAAGAAAGAAAAAGTAAATAAGTATTAGTGAAATTTAACAAGGACAGATGACTGTGGTTTGAGGTGGATTATGCAGAGGAGTATCAAGAGCTGACACCAAGACTAATGGGAAGGATTTCACACACAGAGGCAAGCACGACAGCTGAAACCGAAGTCGAGAGGGTGGAAGAAGCAAGCTCTCTATGGAGCACATCAAGAAGATGTGTCCGTTGCTATTGAGTCAATCCCAGCTCAGGTCAACTCGCTTCTTCAGGAGGACCATTACTGGGATAGCTGGTACACTAGTGAGCGTGTGAACGAAGGCTAAACGTATACATTCTGAATTAACTGATGCTGTCACAGGGGATAAGGCAATTTGTAGTGTGTGATCTGTTTTATCACAGAAGACTTAACTACCCGGGAGGGAAGCCTGTGTAAATATTTTGTCTCACCCAAGGTCCTGTCCCAAGACAAAAAAGTCCAAGGTCTGCCATAGTGAGGACCCAGAATATTCTTTTTATCTCTTTTCTTTAAACCTCAAGGCTGAAGGAAAACTTGCCCTTTGTTAAACCGCAAAGAATAAGCACATGATTATTATAATTCCTCTTTATTTTGCCTCAATCCATGAGTATTCAAGGACTGTATCTTAGAGAATAATAACCAGGATTATTTTATTTTGACAGATATGAAGCCTGTACTTTTTAGAGTAGTCACATTTCCACGGAATTAATGTTTTACTACGTTATTGACTTATCCTACCTACCACTATCTCCCTTGTATATTTTAAAACATTACTATTGGGTCCAAATTATGATGATGCCTTTTCAAGTGTTTTACAGGGATACTACAGTATATTGTAGGCAGAGGTACTATGTACTGAGCGTGTTAAGTAACTGTGCAGTATGGTGTGAAAAGTTCTCAGTGACTATGTCTGTTGTATGTTGTCATGTTTTTTGGTTGTCATTCATCACATGTTTTGAAATATTTATCCAGCAGCATAAATAACAGCAATTTAAGCAACAGCATAGATAATATTTTCTGAACTGTTTTATCAAAATTAATTTTCAGAAAAAATCCACTCTAAATAGAAAGATACATTTAACTGCTTTATCTCAGATAGTGACAAGTTATTTTTAAATTTAATTTTTTGTAGTAATAACCACACATAAAATTGGACATGTGAACATTACCTTAAGATATACTTATCACAAACATGAATGCATTTCTAAAAGCTAGTACTTTAACAGATGATAGAGTGCCATATTTTAATTTTCTATTTTGAGGCTTTTTTCAATATTCTGAGGTTTTAAAGATTCAGCAGATCTAAATAAAACATTTTAGATGCATCATTTCCAGTCAGTTTCATATAAGCTCTAGTGATTTTTGAAACAATGTACATGTAGACATTATTTTCTTTACAAGTGAATTTTTCCATACAACTAACCCAACTGTGTCTCTTTAGAATTATGAAAGTGATCATTTGGCTTCATAAATTTGGCTTTATAGAGCTTAATATATTTGACTTTTAGTATTGATAGGGTTTTCTTTGGTTGTAATTAAAGATCTTATACATTGTTTTTTGGGTGACTGGACAACATTCATTAGCAGGAGCTCAATTGTGCTCTCTATAGGTTATGGTGGTGACCACATAGGGAGGTGGAGTAGGCGTAACACAGGACAGTTACTTTTGCTTTACTATTGTCTGGTCAACTAGGAAGAGGGAGTAGTGTCTTGAACTTTGGACTGCAGATCACAGGCTGGTTCAAACTCTAGCTGCTTCGCAGGAGAAAGATGAGGCTAGTTTCTGCAGAGATTGCAGTGTTGGGAACCCTCAGGAGCAGTTCTGTTCTATCCTGTAGGGTCACCATGAATTGGAATTTACTTGACGTTTGTTTCAATTAGGAATTCCCTATATTCTGATACTGATATACTGATATTGATAATGATACTGATATTGTCATACTGATACAATCCATGCTTCGGTTGTTTTAAAACACAGTTGATAAGTTGTAGTGAACA